GGGGGGGGGGGTTAATCACCTCCTCTCTTCTCTCATCTGGATTTTGAAAGCATGTTTAGAGACGTTTCAGTGCGTACAATTAAACTGAAACTGTAATTGTGGGGGAAACAGGAACAGAGGTAGGAATTTGACGTGTGTGTGTGTGTGTGTGTGTGTGTGTGTGTGTGTGTGTGTGTGTGTGTGTGTGGGTGTCCTCCCAACGGTGCTCTGCTTATCATTAGTTTAAATACTTTTAAATCGACTACAACCTTGGTTTCAGCACCATGGACAGCACCAGCTCACAACCCAGTCAGGCAGCCAGCAGGGGTTGGATGATTTACACGAGGAATTTCTTGGACTTCATAACGTTACAGTAGCAAACGTTGCGATCACGACGTGTGTGTGTGTGTGTGTGTGTGCGCGCAGGGCTACCCGCTCGAGAGAGGAATAACCATCCGGCTGGCAGACCTCATTAAGCGGTCCAGACCACAGCAGTTCCACGGCCTGATGGGAAGAAGCTCGGGTAAACAAACAAAATAAGCAAACACATCATTTTACTTTGTTGGAATATTTAGGAAATAGTTATTGTATTCTTGAAGTAACCATACTGTGCTTGTCATACGCGTTTTTTAAAGTTTGTACTGAAACTTGTAGTTTTCTCCATTAAGCTGTTTAAATAGGACAAATAAACATTTGATCTCTCCTTCATTTCAGGCGCATCTCAACCTGTGAGACTGGGCAAGAAAAGTGAGTGTAATCACACCAGTTTTATTTGGTTTCTTTTGACCCTCATGGAGATCTAACCCCCCCATTCTGTCTCTCTGTTTCTCTTAGGAAATAAAGGGGAGATGTTTGTTGGACTAATGGGCAGACGGAGTCTAGGGAAAGGTAATGCAAACTCCTTAATGGGATTTTTTAAAAATGCTATGCGCATGGTGTAAGAACTACAAATCTGCAATTCTTCTCAATTATTTGGGCAGGAAAGTTATCCCGTTTTGTGATATTTTTCCGTTTGTGCTTAAAAGTGTCTGATCTGATTATTCTTCATCGCTCAAGCATTCCTTGAGGGAATACCTCGTTGGTGTCTACTCCTAAGTCTGATATTTTGCTCGCTCTCTCTCTCTCTCTCTCTCTCTCTCTCTTTATTTTCCAGATGTGGAAGAGGAATGGAATTCTGACTCTTACTAAAGATGAAAAATGAAACAAACAAAGAAATCAACATAATCAAAGCTGAGATTCAACTACGTTGTCCGTGTATAATTCAGTCCAATGTTGTTGATCAACAGGATGTAGAGTGTCACACAGTCTGACCAGGACAGAAGGTTCTAACGCCAGATAACTGAAATGAATTTAATCTGCTGCAAATCACTGAAATCATTGCCTATCACTATAATCTTTATTGTTAACAATATTCAGTCATATTTCAATCTATGTACATGTAAGCCTCATGTCTTTTAAGGGAGTTTGCTTCTTTCACAATTCATTAAAGCTGATAACATTAGCTAAGTGTGTCTTTATTCTGTGTTGCCACTGTAAAGAATAATGCAGATGAAGAGGAAAGTTACGGAGTGGAATATTCACCATCATCGAGATGAACCAGCATGACAAATACTTGACTTTACTGCTGATTTGAAGTAGTTTTTCATTATTGAGTAAAATAGTCATGCTATAATAATTTCATAGTAATATAGTATTTATATACAGCTAATTGAATAAAACATTATTTTGTTCACATCGTTGTCTGCACTTGCTTTAGCACTGAATGAATACATATTTACACATTTATAATGTTGTATTTGAAGAGAAAAAGTTTTCTGCTGAGCTATTTCTCGACTTCTACTTGCGGTATTAAATATTGGTAAATGTATGCTTGCATCATATCCCTTAAAGGGGCCCTCCAGTGATTGGTCCAGAGTTGGACTTCCAAATGATTTGGGGACTGACAACAGACAGGTAAAAAAAAAAAGAACAGTCATAACTGAAGCAGGTAGAGATATTCTGACTTTTAGTCACTTGTTTGGGTAAAACTCAAAAAACACTGGATCCTACAATTCCCATGATGCAACTCAACAGCAGCTCTTTGCTTCCTAAACACCCACGGCAAACTCCATGTTCAGAGTTTTCAACGCACGCTTTCTGTAAAAAAAAAAAAATTGTCACCTCCAAGTAAGGGCTGAGGTAACCCTGATGACATCACTATGACATCATCTGGGTTATTATTCTCAGGCTCGACAAAGCTCCAGAGCCACAGAAGACATTACACAACTGTTGAGCAGTTCTCCCCATGATGAGCAAACTGACCTTTGTGTGTAAAATTGGCGAAGCGCCCCTTTAAAGAATTAGCGCTAATGCATGTGTTAGCGCATAGACCAAAAAATATGTATTCACTATTTTCCATATACCCAGAGTTTATAATTTTCTGTCAAATGACCATGTGGTCGCAAGGATGGTTTTCAAAATAGGTAGGTGACATATCTTTAAAATAAAAATTAAGGCCTGAACGTTTATTGCCGGCGATCTCCTCGACCTTGATTATCTCGAACATGTTTCAGGTCTTAAAGGAACAGTGTGTATGAATAAGGGGGATGTATTAGCAGAAATGTAATATAATATTCACAACTCTGTTCTCATTAGTGTATAATCCCCTGAAAATACAAGTATCTTTGTATTTTTGTTACTTCAGAATGAGGCCTTCATATCTACATTTGGAGCAGGTCCTCTTTACGGAGACGACCGCCATCTTGCTATGGTAGCCCAGAACGGACAAACCAAACACTGGCTCTCGAGGGCCTTTCCCGCTTTTTGCGTCATCTGACGGCCACTGTAGTTCTTCAACACGTTATCCATTCGGTCATAATCTCGGTCAAAACCTCATTGCTGGATGCCACGGAATCCTTCACACTGCTCCTCCGTTCGAGATTATCATCATAAAAGAAAGACGTCAACCTAAAATCTGTTCAGTATGCTTTAGACCAGTATGTTCCAACACCTTTTTTGATGGTAACAAGGTCTCGGTAAGATGTTGAACTCATAGTGTTTGTATAAAGAATCTAAAAGTAACATTTAATAAAGTGTATTTATAATTTATAAGCCCCGACTTCAGTCACCCCTGTTGTAAAAAAGAGTCTACAATCATGTATACCCACAATGCCTTTAACTGAAGCAGCCACCTCCAGAGATGATGCGTCATGGCCCTATTATAGTTCATGCACACCTGGACATGATAAAGACCCGTGTGTCCATGACAGCTGTTATAAAGTATTGCCCCTACAGTTATGTAGACAATATCAAAAAATGTAATTTGGGGTAAATATGAATAAAAATCTTAATGCGTTAATTTGCCTAAACCTTACCCCCTTATACTGTAGCCATGGGAAACAGCCCCCACACACACACACACACACACACACACACACACACACACACGAGCAGCTTGCGCCTTTGTTTCACCATTTGCATTTATTGAAGAGGAGCGAAGGCGGAGAAGCGAGTACAGAAGCACAACCGAGCTACATATCGATGCCACGCTACTTTTGTGCGCCGCTGCTTCCAGCGCGCAGTTTAAGTAGGCAGCGGGGGTGCGTTCAAGTGCCGCGGTGCTGGTGGCCTACGGAAGGTGATGCATTGCCTCTGGGTTTCTCTACGTAACTGTGACCCGATGTCACCAGCAAGGTGCTCTGAAGCCGCACTTCTATAGCTGCCACTGGCTCAGAGAAAGAAAAAACGGCAAAACATCAGGATGAAAAGACAGACAGACAAAAAAAAGCCTCAGCTTAAAGGGAAGTTTCACACGAATACATATGATCGATTTGTGATCTTGTAGTGATCTAATTCATGGTTTATTGAGTCTTTTCCAATAAAAACAAAAAATACATTCAGGTCCCTTTTCTGCTACTGCAAGAATAGAAAATATTCTGTCTGCTTACGATGGATTGTATGTTGAATATCGGTACAAAACGGCAGCCCAGTCATACCTACGCAGGTAATACAGCAGCTTCACAAAAGCAAAAAGTACAGTCAAGAACAAAATTGGCCCAGTCATGCATGGTTCATCAATATGTGTGTGTTTTAGGATTGATTTTTTTTCCTGTGAAAGTGCACTTTGCTGGAAATGCACTTAAGATTTGGCAGGACAACCCACTCGCTACAGTCGAGACTAAATCCAGTAGCCCATCTCAGAGAGGTTTAGTTGAGAACAGGTGCTAAAGTGGATGAATGTCGTCCTTTGAAGCACGGGTGGCCTGTTTGCATGGATTTAGAAGTCTTCCAGTCGGTGACGTGAAACCAGAACCCCCCCCCCCACCCATGCGAGGGCCCGGATGAAGACCGGAAAGCAACCACAGAATTAGAGAAAATAATCATAGATGAATAAATCCACAGACGGTAGAAAGTAAAACATCACAATAAAAAAAAGAACAAAACAAGACACACAGAAATAGATTTCCAACCTTGTAGAATTTAAAGGCAACATTTCTTATGCAGTGAAAGAAGAACGGCAAATGTAACTCTAGGCTGTTAAAGGGAAGATTCCTCCACATGTGAAAATTGTGACAGAAAAGAGACAAAAAAGAAAGAGAAAAGATAATTCAATCGGACATTGTTGGCCACACACCTCCGATTTCACAGCCTACTGCTGTCTAGGCTCATGCACAATGTTTAAAGGAATAGTTCCACATTTAAAAAATTTGTTGCAAAATATGAGAAGATTGAGTCCACTCTATATTGGTTATTTATGCTAAGCTAAGTAGGGCCAATCGCCAGTTAGTTTAGCAATCCCCCTGTTTTTAGTCTTTCTGCTAAGCTAACTGGCTGCAGCTTCTTTTATATTTAGCACACAGATTGGTGTCAATTCTTTCCCAAAATGTCAAAGATTCTTACAAACTGGTTGTAACATTAACAGGTTGATCTAAATCAAGAAACACGAAGATTCTCAATAAAAAGCAATGTTGTCAATCACACAGTTTGCTGTAAAGACCAAAAATATAATAATAATAATAAAATGCTGCAGACTATGCTAATTGGTCTCACACAAAAAGATTGTTGTATTTTCTTAATTGCAATTTTGTTGGAAAGAGTAGTGGCAATGTCCAAAAGAGACGTATTTCGATTCAATAGCATGTCACTATTGATTACAGGAGATAAACCACTGAGATGTAAATGACTTCTGTCTTTATTAGTGTGGGGGGGCGCCTTGGATTCTTCCCCCTTTACCTTTTTAAGAGTTTCTAGACACATTTCAAACCTACATAAAATTTTGAGATAAATATTCATATTCACAAGGCAGACGGCTCTATAGAGTAGCAATCCTCTACCAGACTGTCTTTTACGTGATACGCAGTTAACATATTTTTTTAAGAATATAAATAGCATACTTTACTCTTTTTTATCGAGTTAAAAAAAAAACCTTGCTGGCTGAACACAGCTACTGTATATAGTTTCACATGTAAACACACAGAAACAAACAAACAAGCTTAAAATGGGCCGTTGTAGCTTTTATACAGTGGTAAACCTTAGAGGTAGAAAAAGTATAAAATATAATTGAGAACTTTAACGCAACCACCACGAAGGACATAGAAAGGACGGCGACGTGTTTAGCTCCCACACAGAGGACGGCTGAGGTCCCCCATGTGCCTTCACTGTCTGACTGGAGACATCGTGAGACAACACCGCCGTCACTAAGATAACAGGTTAAAAGAGAAGGGAAGACAGGTCGGTCCCCTCCTGGTGACATAACAAGGTCCGAACACGGCCAATGGCAGCTATAGCTTCCTGACTGGTGCGATGGGTTAAATACTGGACACGATGTGTGTGTTTGTAGCATGAGAGAGATGCCGAGTTATTGATTAGCTCCGAGTTCAAACAGTCACTGGTAAGAGTCAGAAAAATGTCTAAACACTCTGGCCTGTCTGGCAACATTTCTTAAACAAAGAGAGAATCCGTAAAAGAGAACAGCTGACTGGATAAAAAGACTTATATTGTATATCTATATATATATACACAATATATATATATATATATATCTATATGTTATATTGATGCTTGATGTAAAGTAACATCACTCTGCAGCTGATACCCAATCATTCAAACGATAAAGTATATGTTAAATGACAATAGTAAATGGAAGATACTCATGTTAGGGAAGCTCTGAGAGGTAAGTGAGAAAAAATAAATCTGGTGGTACAGTTTCTTAGTCTGATCTGAATAGTTTTTCCCTCCTGTGTTCATGTCTTAAGAACAGGATCTTCTAGTTGAGTTTTAATTTCTCTAAGGCAAAACTTTTCTGTTTTCACTTCTGAAAAACAAGCAACTCAGAAAAATTATCCTGGAAAAACTTTTTTCCCCACAGACAAAAAAACAAACAAAGAAACGTATAAAAGGCTAAACTTAATTTTGTTCTCACCTATTTGGATCAGCCTTAAAAAATTGATCACCAGAATTATTTTTTCCCTCACTTCCTGTCTGGGCTTCCACATGTTTTAGCCCTGTTCCAATTTTGTTTTCCAATCCTCAAAGAACTCTGTTTGGGATCTCTCTGTTTAGCCATGTGACCCGAGCGGTAAATCAATGCCGGGGCTCTTATTCCTACAAACTTCACTCATTTATTTATTTTTTTGACCCAGGCCTTGCCCTGTTTAATCACAGCCAGCTGGTCTGTGTCGGCCGAAATGCCTCGCATGAGTCAACGTGCTGCAGACCTGCGTTGTGTCGAGCACCTCGACAACAGAATGAAAAGCAGCACCGGTTCAATACCAGCTGCCGCAGATTGGGTTAGAAGGTGTGCCTGGTGCTCGGCGCTAATCAAGTGTCTGGGAGGAGGTGCACTGACAACGCACAATTACTTTCACTTTTCAGACAACAAATGAGGTCGAGGAGACATCAGCGGCAATCTTACTAGATCGTAGACAGACGTCATCTGCCGCTGCTTAGCTCATTATTTTGTAATTTAGTCACACTGATCGTTAGACCCTAAAACCGAAAAAATATATACATGTATATACAGTATATATAATAATATAATATATAAAGAAAGCGTGAATAGCTGATTCTCTTCTATGGAACCCCTAAGTGGTCAATATTTAATACGTAAAAAAATATATTATTAAATGAATAATCACATTAATAAATTGTAAATCAACAATTTGTGAAATGATTAAAATTCTATTTAAATGAGCAAAATATTTAAAAAGCGCCATGTAATATATTAATGCTATTTAAGTTAGTAATAGCCAGTGGCATACGGTTGTTTACATGTATGACCTAAACATAAACAGGCTGTAGTGTAACATATTGCTTATTGCTCGTATTAGCTTAACTAAATATTTAGGGAGATCTGAAGCTGCAATATTACTTTTGTTTCATTTGCTTCTAAACACAACCATTAATTGAACATTAATGATATGCATGTTTGTTTTTTTGTTCACTTTTAAGTGTTTATTACAAAAGAAGCCGTCCCCGATGACTCCTTTTCTTCTATTTTTGTGTAATGTCCAAACACATACTCTGGACAGGCATCGTATCGGTGTTCTCATGTTCCATCTCCATGACAGTGACTGCTGAACCCAGAGTTAACGGTGGACACAACGAGTGGCTGACTGCGCTGTAGCTGTTGAAAAGGGTTTTGTACAAGAGTGTGTGGGAAGGGTTTTGGCTCAGGGTCTGTGAGCATGCCAGTGTGCGCTAGAGGATCCGTCTGTGTGTATATGCGTGTGTTTCTGGGTTTGTAGTGTGAAAGGAAGCTCCTCTACGTCCCTTTAGGTGGTGTCCATTTTAAGGCTTTGGGGTCAATGGTCTTGCCATTGCCGCGTTTGGTCTCCTTGGACTTCCAGTCATCGATAAGGTCCTGCAGAGAGAGAAAATGCCCCTTAGTCGGCTGCACTAATGTACAGCTATGGGATGAAGCTGAAATGTGCTCGTCCTCAGTACCCAAGTAATGAGGCTTTGAAACTTAAATGATAACCAATCAGCTACCAGATGGGCAAAGTAGAGATTCTCTACCTGTCTCTTTAAAACCAGGTGCTTTCCCTTCCAGTATTTGAGCATCTGGAGGGATTGCAGCGTGCTGACAATATCCACTGGGTTCACCGCCGTCTCCTGACTGATCTCTGTGAACACAAGAGTGGGACAAGAGGAGGTCAGAGTGATGGGATCCGGACTGTCTAATTAAGAAGACTTAAATCTTCAGCCATGCTAGCGTCTCTATGAGGCAGTACACAGCAGTGCTTTGAGCTAAATGCTGAAACCAGTATGCTAAAATGCTCACAGTAATGATGTTGAAAAAATATTTAAGAAATATGTTGTTTTTTTTGCTTTCTTGCCCAGAGATGAGTGAGATGATTGAAACCACTCACATGTCTGGCAGTAAATGTACAGCTACAGCCAGCAGCTGGTTAGCTTAGCTTAGGATAAAGACGGGAAACAGCTAGCTTGTTTCTGCCAGCAGCTCGTTAGCTTAGCTTAGAATAATGACGCGAAACGGCTAGCTTGTTTCTGCCAGCAGGTGGTTAGCTTAGCTTAGGATAAAGACGGGAAACAGCTAGCTTGTTTCTGCCAGCAGCTCATTAGCTTAGCTTAGAATAATGACGGGAAACAGCTAGCTTGTTTCTGCCAGCAGGTGGTTAGCTTAGCTTAAGATACAGCTAGCTTATTTCATCCAGCAGGTGGTTAGGTGATTGAAACCACTCTCATGTCTGAAAGTAAATGTACGGCTACAGTCAGCAGCTGGTTAGCTTAGCTTAGGATAAAGACAGGAAACAGCTAGCTAGTTTTGGTCCAAAAGTAACACCCACCAGCACCTCCAAAGCTCACTAATGACCATGTAATGTCTTGTTTGTTTAATACATCGCCGGACAATCAGAGATCACAGGGAGACCTTTATTTGTATCATTGAGGCTTGAGCTGACTGAAACAATACTCAACATTATACAACTTTAGCTAAAGTATGACCACATCCAGAGCTGCAAACACAGCGGTATAGTTAGAACTGATCAGAAGGCTCCAGAATGATGACAAAACCCACTTTGTACAATGTACGCTAATCTCTACAGACGTGGCGGAGGCAGAGCGGTCGCATCATGGCAGCACAGAGCGTTTTGAATGTCGACTGCAAATGACTGAGAGGAGTTATTTGTGCTACTCTGTACGAGTTGAAAAGATCTTCCTAAAGGCAAAATGGCATGCAGGAATCAGTGAAAAAGAGGACACAAAGAGGGAACAGAGTGTTAGCACTGAACTATTTGCTGCTTTGTCACACTGTCGTGGTTGCTGTCTGACCCTGGAGGCTATAATTTGATGCTTTTGCTACCTCCAGTAAGCGTGACAAAATGATGTTTGAATTACTGTGAATCAGTTATTTCTGAACAGTAACTCATCTAAAACTAAATGCAATATTGTGTCTTAGTCAGCTGGAATTGTCAACTGGAATTATTTAAAAATGAAAAATAAATAAATGATATCGAGTCTATGACCATTGAAGACTTAACTAAATGCTCAACATCCCTAATGACTTATGAATTGTCATAACTTTGGCGCTTCATCCAGCACCATCATCGGGTCAAATCTCCAACACTAAAGACATTCCCATCAGCCTCAGCTGTACTTTGTGTTTCGTGCAAATGTTAGCATGCTATCATGCTAAACTAAGTTGATGAGCATTATACCTGCTGACATCACAGCTGTAATTGGGAGCAGGTTAGCATACGGACATTGACCGTCATGCCTCACTAGGGACATTTTTTGTCTTTTCAATTTAATGATCATTTTGTCAGTGTGAATACATTTGGAATACATTTTGGCAAGTTTGTGAGTTGGGATTTTGGAACTTCAACCTGAAGCTCCTATAATAAACCGTGTTGCCAAAATACAGACAAAACGTCCCCATCGAAACCCATTATAATCCCAAATGTTGACCCCACGGCCATTACAGCATAAATTATATTGCATAAGGCTTTCAATCTAGAGCAGCGCCTTCAAAATTGTCGTTCTTACTATTTTCAATCACATTTAGCCATTTTCTCACTCAGGGCAAATACATGCAATTCACCCGATACAACCAGGAGAAAGGATGACCCAGTTTTGTTCGAGTTTAAGTCTTGGGTGCATCTGCCTTCATTTATCACCTGAACGCTGACTTGGAGTGGCCACAGTGTTCTCTGGTCCATTCACTAAAGACGACACGCATGAATGCATGCGTGCACATAATAACACACACAGTCTTAAATCCCCACTGCCCATCTTTCCTCTCCCCTAGGGTTTTTCCCTATCTCTTGCCAGAACTTCGGAGAGTGCGGTCCAGCTCTGACCTTTGATGGAGATCTCTTTGCCCTGAAAGTTGTTCAGGTAGCGCAGCAGTACCTCCTTCCAGTAACTCCGGTAGCTGATGAGGCCCAGGTCTGACAGGGGGCGCTCAGGTGAGCCCACCTTCTCCTCAACTTTGGACAACAGGTAACCTTAAAAGGGGAGATTAGAAAGAGCATTTTTTGTTGGCAACACTCCTCCTCAAGCATTCCTATCTCCCACTGAAATGTAATAAGGATACAGAAAAAATACAGTAGATGAACTAATGCCTGTAATAGCCAAAAAACAAGAGTGTGCTCCGGTATCCTCGGAAGGGAAAGTTCCAGACAGCCTCCTATATCTGGTGTTATTGTGCTGTGCAGAATCCCTTGGCCTGTGTTTAAAGTTTATGAGGCAAAAACACACACGCAAGAACACGCAAAGAGGAATACACACACTGGGCGTGTGCACTCACTGAAGTCTATGAGCATCTTGCCGTAGCCCTGCCTCATGTACTGCGGCATGGTGAGGATGCAGGATACGTTGTAGTTGAGGAAAGAGTTCTTCTCCTGCAGAGGGAGAATACATCCGTAAACACGACGGTTTGGCTGAAATGGGAAAAATCTGATCTTTGCTTTTACCGATCTTATTTTGGCTGTGCATATTCACTTGAGCTAGTTTCTTTTCTCTGGTAAACACTGGACATTTGTGTTGTAAAAGTAATCCATGTCTCCCAAGTTACCTTGGAGAAGTATCCGACTAGATGGCACCCTGTGTTGTCAGCTTCGGTCATGACATAGAAGAGGAAAGGTTCTACATCGTAATACAGAGTCTTGTGGTCCAGGAAGAGCTTCGCCAGCAGACACAAGTTCTGGCAGTAGATCTGTGAGCGAGAGCAGTGTCATTTATCAAAGTTTACAGGGAACACGGCTGGCTAATCTCACACAGACAGATCATTAGGTGTGGGAATATTACGTTCAGGCACAACAATAGGTCAGAAGGTCCAGAGACACAGGTCGTACTCAAAACTAAAGACAAACTGCAAAAAACCAAGCAGAAGTGTCTTTTTTTTTTTTTTTTACATGGACACAACTAATCAAACAAAAGGGGACTTGAAGGTAGCGTCACCTTCCCTTAATGCTCACACTGTTGATACTTGTCCACAGTAAAGGAGCCAGGCTAGGTGTCAAAGAGCCTCCCGGTGATTTAGGAGAACCTGTTGCATTCAGAAGTGTTCTCATCTTTTAAGTATGAATGAAATTCACAAGTGATCCAGACGGGTTGCCTTTCACAACAGCGGGAAAAACCCTTGTTTGACTTAAGAATTTAAACAGGAAGAATCAACCCTTAAAGGGAAGTATTTATATTTTCTAATTGTTTTTAGTCCCCTAATAAGACCACTGAGATGGCTACATGTGTTATGTTGTAACGAAGCAGAACAGTTAGCCCTGAAACAAGTAATTCTGACGCGTATGTAAAGAGTTCGTCAGTCCGACTTGGGACAAGAAAACCTCAATGAAAGAAGTAAGAATAGCTTACGATAAGAATACGAAAACTGTTCTCGCGTGAGGCCCAACAATACCCGGGGCCTTCCTGGGAGGCGGCGCTCTTTTACCTTGTTCTTCTTTCCGTCCACCTCAAAGACAGAGATGTTCCCCTTCCTGTAGATCTCGTCACCTGGAGGGTGCTTCCACACACACTTGGCCTTTATGCGACAGAGATAACAGAAAGCAGCGCCGGTTAGTTTATTTAGAAGTTAGCAAAACATTTGACTTTTAGTTTTGCATGGTGCTCATTCTGGATTTAGGAAAAGAACCAAAGAAACAGAGGCAGATATTCTGACTACACTAGATCCTCCCTGCTTGATCAACTGCCCTCATCTTAGATAAACCTGTATGTGTGATATGTGTGGAGCGTCCCTTTAAACCATGATAGTGTATCTTTTTAATCCCAGTGGACTGTTCTTAATTGATGTTTGAAATTCAAATTCTCATTTCAATAATGGCCACAGTCCACTACAAACAGTGTTGTGGCCATATAATTGTTTGGAATCCGATCTCCAAACTATGAAGTTCAGCTCCGGTAAAAAAAAAAAAAGTCCTCTTTTTGCTTCTCTCGCTCCAATATAAAAAATGGTGTGAACTGCATCAAGAGGGCAAAGTTATACAGGCTATCTAAATAGAGTCTGCATGGTCTAGGAATACAATTATGAGTTGCCTCCGGCATGGAGATAGTAAGGTTATGGTTGGAACTAAGGCCCAGGCTCATTTCGTGCCACAGTCCATTTTCACTTTGATGCTTCAACATCACTGACTGGAAGCTTCAATCTTTTTGGTTATCGATCAGAGATATTTCAGCTACGATTAAGTACCGCTCCCTAAACCTCACCAGGCAGAGTTTGCAGTATTTGGCAGTGTTTTTTTTTCCCTTATTATTGAAATGCGGGATAAGGATAGAAAATTGTCAAGAAAATACTGAAAAAGAAGAATGCAATTTTTTTTATCCCCTTTTTCTAACGATAAATCATCTCCACAGTGAAAAGGCCATTGAAACTTCAGAGAACAGCTGGACACATATGTAATGCATGGTTGCCAGACATGAGACTAATGTTGTCACAATAACAAAAAATACTACTAAAAACATTGAATTAAAGACTTTTACAACATAAATGCAAAATGGAATTGAATTTTGGTAAAAGTTGCCAAAACCAAGAAGAGAAACTACTGTATGCATAAACTAGCATGTAGATGAGTCCAATACAGTGTGACCAGGAGGGATTGCAAGTAAGGTTTCAAGACACATTGCATTGTGGGATTGTTCGTAAAAAAGGAGCATGAGACAGATTTCAGACACAGCCATCCTCTGATTTCAAAGGACCTGCAGATGCCCCGTAGAAAAAGCTGTCTTACCATGTGCCGCCGCAGAATGGTCTGGCTCTTCATGTACTTGAGGCAGAACTCGCACATGTAGAGCCTCCCCAGGCGGGCGTATTCCTCTGGGTATGGGGAATGGTACCACGTGTCCAGCTCGTAGCGGCCAAACACGATGGTCTTTATCATGTTGCTGCCCTCCGACACCTGGCCGGCCAGCCGGAGTTTCTCCTATAGAGGCCAGGACAGGAGGGACAGGGGGAGAAAAGGTACAAAGAGGACGAGAAGAGAGGAGAGAAGAGAAGAGAAAGAAGAAAAGATCCCGATTATTCAGGGAAGAGGATCCGGTGAACCAAAGATCACACACAGGAAAACCTCAGTGGAGGCAACCAGCCAGATAAAACAATAACAAGGTGCAGGAAGAAAGATTTCGATGGGGAACAAATAGGAAAAGGCTTAAAATGAAGCTCTGAAACTAACTTACTAAGTTTACACGTTAACTGCAAGGATTCTTAAGACGTGGCAAACAGAAGATAAGATTTGGGTCAGAATTGTGTATTTTCAAAAACGCCAACTCTGAATCTATTGTGTGATTTGGAAAATTTGTAAGCACATGCCGTTTGTAGGCAATCAACTAAACCATACAAAACCTTCTGGATAATAAAGCCTTCTCATCTGAATGGGTCACAAAGTAACAGAGCAGAGGTAAAGAAAAGAAACACAGAACAACAGGAAGTGATTGTCCAAACTACCAAAAATATCTCAGACTCCTCCTGTGGCTGCAGAGGAGGGTTTGCTGACTGAAACAGAGAAGAAGAGGAATAATGCAGAAAAAGGTAGGGGGGGGAGACCAAAAAAACAAAGGGAAGCGGGAAAGAGTAAGGGAGGGAGGTGATGATGACTTTTCTCTCTTACAAGGTCCTCCGAGGCACGTGCCTGCGCTTTCCTGAACAGCTCGAGGTCGTAGTCGCTGGTGATGTTCTCCAGCAGCGGCTCCCTGCTCACTCCGTGGCTCTGACGGTGGTCCTGGAAGTCGGGGGGAGGAGAGACTTTCAAAATATGTATGGGTTAGGATGTGGAGGTGTATCAAAGGGTTAAACACTTTCAGTTCTCACACACTTACCACGTACTTGTCCTTCTGCTCCTTGTTGAGGCTAGAATTCCTCTTCCTCCTCAGCTCCGTCACCTTCTCCTTGTAGCGCAGCTGGCGGTCTGACGGGGCCTGAGAGCACACGGAGGCAAACACTTCAAACAGGGAAGAATTCGCACTGCCTGATGAGAATATGAACAGAAATAATGTGCTCCTGAGATAGATCCATTTCTATTTATACTAGTGGTATTGATATTTTACTACTGCTTTATATAATGGAAAAAATGAACAAAAACTGTGAAGGTTCATAATTGTCAGTACGTTGCTTTTAACTACTCTATCGGCGTCCTGCAGGGAGCTGTGCTAGGACCACTTCTATGTCGCCTTTATATAAAAGATATGCATATGTCTGAAGACATCCAGCAATATGCTGATGATACGTTGATCTATACTCACGGTTGCACAGACAGCAAACATACCAATGCAATAAGCCATATATTAAGGCAAATAGTCTGGTTATATTTAAATAACTTTTGGTTTATAGGAATGTCAATAAACTTCAATCTTCAATCTTTTTATTCATTTTTTACATTTCATTATTTTCTGGTTCATTGTCTAATGCTCTTGCCTATGAGTTATGTTTTTCTTGAAAATATGAAACATGGAGATATTTGTTATTTTGAATACTGTATTTGTCCCTACAAGTCCAGTAATAAATGTACTTTAAATAAAACAAACACAGGCTAACAGAATGTATATGAATTGACTCTTTACGTTCTGGACCAGAAACCAAACGGCCTTCAGAGCCGGTAAAAAGTATGTTTTGAATCAGTTGATGTTTTAGAGAAAATCCTACTCAGTCCTCTGTTATTGAGGTCCTTGCATGTTTTATTTTCTCTTGACTTACTACGTATAGTTTGCAGCAAACTACCATGTGTTACACTGTTCCATTACTTGTCGTGCTATTTTATAAAACATGTAGTTCTATTCTGTTTTAGGGGAAACGGGTAAATCAGTGTTCTGCAACAACTCAGACTCATTTACAGTCTTTTCTCTGTTGATCAATGAGCACAGTCCCTGTCAAATGAACTAAGGAATGACATCAGAACCAGGAAGCGTCACTTCACACTCACTGTGACTCAACCAAACAGCAGCTCTTCGTCAGTTTGCGTCTGAGGAATCACAGTGTGATCTCAGACCTGAGGTATTACTGCTTATATAGAGTAATGCGGGAATTCCTCTTACCCGTACAATAATATGTATGTGTACATGCATCTCTCTGTTTTAGGTGTGAGCATGTGTCACCGTTTGTTAGGCCTGTCTGATGCACTTGCTGTTCATATCGATGTGTGTGTGTGTGTGTGTGTGTGTGTGTGTGTGTGTGTGTGTGTGT